TCTTTCACCTGAATGTCAAGTTTATTCTTCCATTTGTCCATTGTCCATCCTTTCCTTCATTGGTCCATTAAGTTCCATTCTCCCTTTATCCATTTCCACCTCCATTATTCCCCACGTACTCCACATCCTTCCTTCAAGATGTCCTTCATTCCGTTATTTATATCCAGATATCCATTTATCCTTTGTCCATACCACGATTCCTTGTCCATTATTTATGTGTGTTGGTCCCAAGATAAAATGGTCTTGAATCCCATTCCTTTCTTGTCCACCATCTTTTCAGATATCCATTCCTTCCGGCTATCAGTGTGTCCACTCCGTCCCTGTTCCTCCATATCCATTCCGTGTTCTTTTCCGGCCAATAAATGTGTGGTCATGGGCCTGTCCGTTTGGCTGGATCTCCGGTCCTTCCTTCCTTATTTCCATTATATTCGTGTGTGGGTCGGGTTCCTTCCCACCAGGCAGTCCTGTGTCCACTGTGGCTCCGGCTGTGTCGTGTTCCAGTCAGATGTCCATATATTTGTCTTGGCTATTGTCCATCCAGTTGTCTCCACCACTGCTTCCGTTGTGGTTCCATCCATCCATCCTTGGTCCATCCATCTATTCCATCCATCCATCTCATTCCGTCCACGTCTTTCCATCCATGTCTCCATCTTCCATCCATCCATCCGTCATCCATCCATCCATCCATGTCCATCCATCCACTGTCCATCCATCCATCCATCCTTCCATCCTTCCTGTCCTTGTCCATCCATCTGTTGTCCTTCCATCCATCCATGTTTCAGTTGTCATCCTGTGTGTGTGTCCATCCATCCATCCATCCTCCGTCTGTCGTCGTCGTCGTCGTCGTCGTCGTGTCCTTCTGGCCATCCGTCGTCGTTCCGTCGTCGTCGTCGTCGTCGTCGTCATCGTCGTCGTCGTCATCCGTCGTCGTCGTCCGTCGTCGTCGTCGTCGTCGTCGTCCATCGTCGTCCTCGTCGTCGTCGTCGTCGTCGTCGTCCGTCGTCGTCTCGTCGTCGTCCGTCGTCGTCGTCGTCGTCGTCGTCGTCGTCCGTCGTCGTCGTCGTCGTCGTCGTCGTCGTCGTCGGGTCGTCCGTCGTCGTCCCGTCCGTCGTCGTCGTCGTCGTCCGTCGTCGTCGTCGTCGTCGTCGTCGTCGTCGTCGTCGTCGTCGTCGTCGTCGTCGTCGTCGTCGTCGTCGTCGTGTCGTCGTCGTCGTCGTCGTCGTCGTCGTCGTCGTCCGTCGTCGTCGTCGTCCGTCGTCGTCGTCGTCGTCGTCGTCGTCGTCGTCGTCGTCGTCGTCGTCCGTCGTCGTCGTCGTCGTCGTCGTCATCGTCGTCGTCGTCGTCGTCATCGTCGTCCGTCGTCGTCGTCGTCGTCCACGTCTCATCATCCACGTCTCCACATCACCACGTCTCCACATCACCATGTCTCACATCACCACGTCTCACATCACCCACGTCTCTCATCACCACGTCTCACATCTGCCACGTCTCACATCACTACGACCACATAAAACATCACATGTCACGTGACCACGTCTCATATTAAGATGTATCTCGTCACCACGTCTCACGCCATCAACACATCACCACGTCTCCACATCACCACATCTCACACAGCACCGCGTCACCACATACGTCAAAACGTTTTACATTACACGTAACCACGTCTCATATGATCATCTCACATCACCACGTCTCACATCACCTTGTCTCATCATCACAATGTCTCAAATAACCACGTCTCTCATCACCACATCTCACATCATCATGTTTCATACGTCACCACGTTCACATCACACATCACCACGTCACCGGGTTCACATCCACACATCTCCATGTTTCACATCACCACGTCTCAACGTCGCGTGTCACCACGTCGAAAAGTTTCACATCACACACCACCACGTCTCCACATGACTACATCACACTTCACCACATCTACGCGTCACACATCACCACATCTCCATGTTTCACATGACACGCCACAACGTCTCACATGACTTACAGCACCAACGTCTTACACCGGCATGTGGTCTGACTGACTGACTGAGTTTGGTTTTACGCCGCTTTTAAGCAAAATTCCAGCAACATCACGGCGGGGACACTAGAAATGGGCTTCACACATTGTGCCTATGGGCACGTGGACTGACTGACTGACTGAGTTTGGTTTTACGCCGCTTTTAGCAATATTCCAGCAACATCACGGCGGGGGACACTAGAAATGGGCTTCACACATTGTGCCTATGTGGGATTCGAACCCGGGTCTTCGGCGTGACAAGCTCAACGCTTTAACCATTAGGCTACCCCACCGCCCCCGGCACGTGGATTTAAGTTTGATTAACTTTGGAATGTACTCTGGGGCAAAGGGTCCTAACTTGTTAAAATGTTAAGCTGGAGTTCTCATCAATAATAATCGGTGACTGGCGCAATCGTCTAGGGTTACGATGTATCCGGTGTCAGGGGTTTTCTATGATGTAAGACAAAACGTATTTTGTATCTTATTATCATTTAAAGTTTTTATTTGACTAACCTTGAGTGATAAAGGATATATTCATTTATTTCATGCAAAATGTCAAGTGTTCCCTACAAAATAGCGTTGATGACATCGTATCGGCGAAACTGTTGCCGCCCTCCACATCCGGGTATTTTGTATGGGTTTTCGACGATACTTTTCGTTCCGAACTGCGAGGGAATGTTGTGATCACGTGGCTTCCTATTTATATATTGCCTGTCACTAGCAGACGACTGATCTTACTGAAATTTGGCTTGCTATTTTTTTTATATAGGCAATTGATTTTGCATCTGAAGTGGTATTAACGATCCAGGTAAATACTATTGCTTTTATATAACTTAAATTCCGGATTTCTTTTTCAATAAAACTTCACACGACAGCGACTGGGCATCCGCCCTACCGATGAAACTGCTTTGTGCACTCCGTTCGCGCACGTACTCCCCGATATAGCGCGATAAATGCAGTCGTCGAAATCACCAGAACGTCGAATTCAGCTCGCTTTGGGATACATTTAGAGGCCCTTGATACTAAGCATCTGTGTATTCATTAATACCTTCTGTATAAAGCTTGTTTGATAGGCATATTTAGAAGTTGGGTAATGATAAAGTAGCAATTGTATTGATTACAGCTTCTTTAATATGTATATCTTGACGTATTGGTATAAATCATTATACCGTTAGCAAGCTAAAACTAACTTGATAACTGTATACGGGTCTATACCGAAACGTGAATCTATACAATTGGGCTTTGTCCTTCAACATATTTTTCTGCCGCTGAAGGAAGTCTTCTTATCGGGGAGGGGCGTAGCTACCATTATGAAAAAGGCACCGGCTTAAATGATTGTTGCTAAAATGGTTGGGCAAGACGTCAATACTATCGGAATAAAAAGCTTTGCAACCTATCGGGCGTACACGACAAAATTGACTTGCTACGCGCCTGTCCGGGGTAGCCTGTATTTCCAGGGCAGTGTGTTCACTGATTGCAGCTGGGATTATCAGTTCAAATGTCAAGGACGAAAAGCAATGTGAGACAAGGCCAATGTCACTGTGACTGAAATATTACTGAACAGGGAGGTATAATCTACGGGAGATAACGATAGAAAATGAAATGGTGAAGTTGCCGTAACGCCCAAATACCATACCATAGAAAACTATCAGAGATACGGAACGATAGGTTAGGGCTGCGTTGTTTACATTGTCAGTGCCATGGAAAATGTACTGGATTTTCAACATTATGATCGAAACTTATTGGGATTGTGTATTTGTATGTAATTTTTGTGGCTCTTTCTAGTTGAAGTTTGCAAATGTATTCCATAGTTTGGTAATTGGTAATTGGCTGTCTCCGGTAAGAATGTCACCGTAACGTTAAGGCGTGTGTGTGAAATATGATTCACGTTGGCAATCTATAAAATGTGTAGATACTACAGTCATGTTATAAAGTTACTATAAACAGAGAGTGTACGTTTTATTAAGATTCAAAATGCATACAAATCAGAGGCGGATCCAGAAGGGGTAATGCAGAGGTGCGCACCCCCCGCCTTTTGTCCTGAAAGTTAATTAAATGACCATTGAAACTCTTTTGTCTCAGACCACTTTGGTAAACCCGCAGGTATAGGTGCTGATAAACCTTGAAACATAATCGGACCAAACCGAGATTCGAACCCACGTTTCTTGCCAACCCAAGTGACGCAACTTTGAACAGCGAATGGCGGCGCCATCTTAGCCCAGAGAACCTCCACCGACTTGTGCTCCTTGTCGCTGAAGGAAAACTTCTTATTTGGGTCGCCCGAGAATCCCTTTTCTTCCAGAACCAACATGGGTTTCCAACAGGGAATGCTACCAGACCCCCAGTACAAACACATATTGGACGACATGTTTGAAACGCCCAGTCGATGTGTAGTTTCTCGTTACAGTGTGGAGAGAGACCTGTTACAGCGCTGTTGTCGGTGTGCGAGGGGTCAGTCAAAGGTCAAGGATGACACGCAATGTCCCTCAAGATAAAAAAAAATAATGAACCAAATTCTGTACAGAGAAAACTCACAACGGGTTGTGAGTAGACCACAGTGTAAGGGAGGTAACTGTAGCGTTTCTTCAAGAGTCTCGCTTTCAATGTTGAAACCGCCTTGAAATTGTTGTAGCTTGCGGATGAGGTGAACAATAATTTATCAACAGTTAAATTTTTTTTAGAATAATTTATTACTCAGAGAAAAGAGGTATGACATGCAAATGTCAATGAAGTCCAAACCACATACGATTGCGATCTTTTTAAAATATACTTCACTGCTCAAGTGGGGCTGTTGGGGAAAACCTTCGCTCTTCACGCCGAAGACCCGATTTCGAGTTCCCACATTCGGACAATGTGAGAAGCCCCAATGTGAGAAGCCCATGTCTTTTACAAAATCACTTTGTATCACTCACTCATTCCTCAAGTCTCTGATTCACTATCGTTGTCACAGTTGCAGCCAGGAAGCAACTTTAAAAAAATAAAGGGAAAGTTAAGTAATAGTTTATTGTAACAATGAAGGTACAATAGGTACAAGACTATATGTAAAATATGCTAAGTATAGCGAAAAACGTGGATAGTAATATCTCAGGCTTATGATTGTTTTCGATTAAAAATCGTTGCTGCCACGAATGTCGTTCTTTGGTTCGGCATGAAGTGAGTGTGAACTTTGATCAAAACCTAAATCCGCTTCGACCAGTGAATTTAATATTTATTTCAACAATATTTGTGTCGCCCGTACCGTGGTATAGCAGACGTTATTGCACGCCCCGATTAAGGTTCATAGCTGGGGCGAATCGTGATTATGAACTAATATGAAACTCTACGTTTGATTCCACTAGTCCAACCATGTACCATATCAGAAAACGTTCGTCTGTTACCGTGAGTTTAGATCAGAGTTGATTGCAACGTAAAAACCCAAAGCAATTCATACATGGATCTTGTCAAGCATTTCGCTAAATATATGGACAATATGACTTTGAAGCCAAACTAAAGCTGTTGACTTAACAGCGTTGGATAATATGAGAAGCTGCAGCTTTTTGTAGCCATTCTCAACGACAGTTCCTAAATAGGTCTAAACATTGAAGTGTCAGCGGGCTTCTCAGCCCAGTGTGGCGGCCATGATGCTTTCACGGATGGTCTGTCCTTGACCTTGTCGTAGTAGGCACTAATAGCGGGATATTTTGAGACATCAAGACCGAGTCTCACCCCGAAAGCGACATACGGAAAGAAGAAGACATCCGCCATGGTGAAGTTGCTGCCGACGACGTAGCCTCCGCTCTGTAGTGTGAAAGGCATTATTAGCATGATAGCAAGAACATTTTCGTCACCGTTTTCATCGGACACTTACGCATGACAAGGAGAGTGAGTAAGTTTTGGTTTCACGCCGCACTCGGCAATGTTCCAGCTATATGGCGGCGGTCTATAAATAATCGAGTCTGGACCAGACAATGCAGTGATCAACAGCATGAGCATCGATCGACGCAAATTGGATACGATGATATGTGTCAACTGTCAACCAAATCAGCGAGCCTGACCACCCGATCCCGGTAGTCGCCTCTTATAATATACGACAAACATGGGTAACTGAAGACCGATCCTAACCCGGATCTCCACGGTGAATCACACACCAGGTATGGGGGAATCAAACACCAGGTATGGGGGAATCAAACACCAGGTATGGGGGAATCAAACACCAGGTATGGGGGAATCAAACACCAGGTATGGGGGAATTAAACAGCAGGTATGGGGAATCAAACAACAGGTATGGGGGAATCAAACACCAGGTATGGGGGAATTAAACAGCAGGTATGGGGAATCAAACAACAGGTATGGGGAATCAAACACCAGGTATGGGGAATCAAACACCAGGTATGGAGAATCAAACAGCAGGTATGGGGGAATCAAACACCAGGTATGGGGTAATTAAACAACAGGTATGGGGGAATCAACCAACAGGTACGGGGAATCATACACCAGGTATGGGGGAATTAAACAGCAGGTATGGGGAATCAAACACCAGGTATGGGGGAATCAAAACAACAGGTATGGGGGTATCAAACACTACGTACAGAGCTGAAGTGATGGAGGATAATGTATTGGGTATGGGTAATTAGTCCACCCGATTGGTCGGTACTTACTGCCGCGAGGTAGCCTTCCCATAATTTCAACTCCTTTCGAGCAGCCTCGTACTTAGTCTTTAACAGCTCCTGAAATACAAAATGAATATATCAACGAAGAATATATATACACAAAATCAACAGTCAGGCGGTGGGAAGCAGTGGCCTTCACCGATGGTGGCGGTCACGGATTCAAGGGGAGATGACGGCCTTCATCGATTGTGGCAGTCATTCATTCAGTGGGACAGAACGACCTTCACTGATGGTGCCGCAGTCACTGATTCAGTGGGACAGAACGACCTTCACTGATGGTAGCGCAGTCACTGATTCAGTGGGACAGAACGACCTTCACTGATGGTAGCGCAGTCACTGATTCAGTGGGACAGAACGACCTTCACTGATGGTGGCAGTCACTGATTCAGTGGGACAGAACGACCTTCACTGATGGTAGCGCAGTCACTGATTCAGTGGGACAGAACGACCTTCACTGATGGTGGCAGTCACTGATTCAGTGGGACAGAACGACCTTCACTGATGGTAGCGCAGTCACTGATTCAGTGGGACAGAACGACCTTCACTGATGGTAGCGCAGTCACTGATTCAGTGGGACAGATGGTGGCAATGACCTTCACTGATGGTAGCGCAGTCACTGATTCAGTGGGACAGAACGACCTTCACTGATGGTGGCGCAGTCACTGATTCAGTGGGACAGAACGACCTTCACTGATGGTAGCGCAGTCACTGATTCAGTGGGACAGAACGACCTTCACTGATGGTGGCAGTCACTGATTCAGTGGGACAGAACGACCTTCACTGATGGTAGCGCAGTCACTGATTCAGTGGGACAGAACGACCTTCACTGATGGTGGCAGTCACTGATTCAGTGGGACAGAACGACCTTCACTGATGGTAGCGCAGTCACTGATTCAGTGGGACAGAACGACCTTCACTGATGGTAGCGCAGTCACTGATTCAGTGGGACAGAACGACCTTCACTGATGGTGGCGCAGTCACTGATTGAGTAGGACAGAACGACCTCAAAATATAATATTCTCAAGCAAGACGTAAAACCCAATTTCACCTCATCTCACCTTAACTCTTCTTAAATATCTTTCAATAGCAAAAAAAGTATATATTTAAACGTTTTTCGAAAGCTGAACCTCTCGCCACTACCCCCGGGTAAGCAACATTATGACTCACTAGGACCACAGGACTGTGGATGGTTACAGGGCAACATGTCTGATATAACTTACCTCATCAAGTTTCTCTTTCGGGGTACTAAATCTGTACCGAGCGATGTTAACGATGAAGTTGTCGTACACGTTGGCAGTCTGCAGAAATCAGAATAACCAAATGAAAGTTAAATGTAACACTAAATGTTTATTGGGCATTTATATGGAGGAATTTCTTCATAGTGAAATCTTTTGTTGTCAACGTAATGCTATAGTATATAGGTACACTGACATAACTTAACTCGATCGATGGTTTCGTTGTGCCAAGTGAAAATGATTTTATGGCCTATGGAAAACAGACAAATGTGCACTGACAAAGGATGTGGTGATAAATGGTTGGACACCACACGTTCGCCATAGAACAAACAGATTCCCATCCAATGTAACCGTAAACATCTGTGTACTGTGTAGTCTGTCTCCTCAACCACAGAGAATGAATTAAGAATGAAGTCTTACTCGCCTCTGTGGCATCACTGAGTGTCAACAGCAAACAATTTCATGGTTACACTATTCCTTCTTGGGGGTGTTGAGCCAAGTGGTTAGAGCGTTCTCTAGTCACGCCGGAGACCGAGGTTCGATTCCCCACCTGGGTACAATGCGTGAAGCCCATTTCTGGTGTCCCAAAAAGTGATATTGCTTGAAAATTATATTGCTAAATTCAGCGTAAAACTCACTCACTCACTATTTCTTCTAAGTAATGTCCCGAGCTTATCACTCAATTCTTGAATATGTTCGTCTTGCACGTGGCTGTGGGGGTAGCCTAGTGGTTAAAGCGTTGGCTCGTCACGCCAAAACCTTTGTTCGCTTCCCCACATGGGTACACTGTGTGAAGCCCATTTCTGCTGTCACCCGCCGTGATATTGATGGAATATTGCTAAAGGCGGCGTAAAACTAAACTCACTCACTCACTCAGTCGGCTAGTATTCCTTCACGGTAAACTAGTGATGTAGAATCGACTGGGGTATATAGTCACAATCAACTAGGAACTGGTAAACAATATTCAGGATCGGCTAGTATGCAGTCAAAGTCAAGTAGCGATTTAACATTGACTGGTATGCAGTGGCAAAAGGTCAGTCGTGATTTATAATTGGCTAGTATGCAGTCATTTCTGTCTTGACTGGCTAGTAGCCAGTCACAATAAGCTAGTCATGCATAATAACTTGAAGTCACAATAAGCCGACTTAGTTCCGGCTCTGATCGCAACAGAATCGACCAGTAGAGATCCGAGTTAGAATTGGTCTTCAGTAACACAGGCCCTCGTGTTTTGCGAGGTTTGATGATTAAAATGTTTTTATTTGAGATGACCCCCGACTCGAATGCTTCACCTAACGATGCTTCACCTAATTGTACTGTGAAGCATTTCGATTCGGGGTCATTTCAAATGTATATATATTTTAAAAAAATCTTAAATCCTCGCAAAGACACGAAGGCCTGTGTTCAGTAACCCATGTGTGTCGCGAGCGGCGAATAACGGAATCGGGTTGTCAGGCTCGCTGACCTGGTTGACACGTGTCATTGTATCCCAATTACGTAGATCGATGTTCATGCTATTGATAATTTATTGTCTGATCCAGACTCGACTATTTACAGACCACTGCCATATAGCTGGAATATTGCTGAGTGCGGCGTAAAAGAACGAACAAACATACACAGCAGGAACAATGTAACAGACGGGTAGTGTCAAGTAGGTCTGGAATGGTGTTTTATGTTTGCATCAAAGAAAATCGAACTTCGAAATATCCGATTTTCTCACCTCAGCACATCTCTGCACAATTCGGCCAAATTCGGCTTTATCGTCAGGAAGGAGTTTCGTCCCTTTGTCTGGAAATTTATTCTGCAAAAGAAATATATATTTTCGATTATATTACATTGCCGCACAGTTTTGGAGCTGAACAGTAGTCTGAGCATTCACTCCTCCTGCCGAAGGCATACAATATTCACTACAGACTTATACTTTGCTAAAATATATTCCCTTTGTTTGATGCGTTTGTATAATACACACACACCCTTGTCAATATCGGTCCAGTATTAGCCCATGCTTGTCGTAAGAGGCGACTAACGGGATTAGCTGACTTGGTTGACACATGTCATCGGTTCCCATTTGCGCAGATCGATGCTAATGATGTTGATCACTGGATTGTCTGGTCCAGACTCTATTATTTACAGACCACCGCCATATAGCTGGAATATTGCTGAGTGCGGCGTAAAACTAAACTCACTCACCATTATTAGCCTGGCATTTTGTGTATGAGACCAGCTGGTCATTCTCTCGCTATTTTGCGTTCATGCTCAAAGTATCCTCTTAATCCGTAACCATTAAGTGAGATGGTATTATGAAATGGTCAGGAAGGCAGGTGTCCCGGTCGCTTGTGTACATTTGACCTCTTGCATGTTTATACAGTATCACTGGCTTCCCTATGTTATTCTTTACCCTATCAGTTACCATGTTGTTTAAGCGTATCACTGGCTTCCTCAATGTTTGTACTATATCCCACCAATCTATCACCATGTTGTTTAAGCGTATCACTGGCTTCCTCAATGTTTGTACTATATCCCACCAATCTATCACCATGTTGTTTAAGCGTATCACTGGCTTCCTCAACGTTTGTACTATATCCTACCAATCTATTACCATGTTGTTTCTCAATTATTAGCTTCCTCAATGTATCACTGCCCTCATGTTTTTATTACATATTCTTTCCTCATCATTGTTAACTTGTTAAACATGTTTTCTTTGTAAGTAATGTATATATATATTCTCCCTTATACTCCCTACCATTGACCTGATGAAGGAGCAAGCATACACTCTCCGAAACGTCGTGTTATTCGCAATAAAGAAGTTGACATCCATAAATCTTGCTTTTCTTACTCACTCACCTAACTAGACTACCGCTTAGTCCCTGAATATATATAATTTTAAAAGTAACAAATATACCCATTTAAACTGAAAAGGAGCCCCAGTGAGTTATGAGATTCAACCTTAGGAAATCTAGACTTGCTTCATTTAGGGCTTTATCATTGCAGGAAGGCTAGGCAGTAGGGAAAATCGTGTGTTTCAGGGACTGAGAGCCGGACTATCACCTAACCAACTGGGACATTTGTCCCGGAGTGACAAGAGAAGCAGAATAAAGCTTGATTGAAAACGAAAAGACTTAACCCATTTCATTGCAAGTGCAGTTGACCCGTAAACACCCGGGTTGGAATTTATTTTCTCCACGACCTGCTGAGTCACGGGCCGGGCTTCAGACCGCCGCCATACAAATGGAACATTGCTGAGTGCGGCGTTACCCCAAAATAAACAAACCAACCCCGGTGATTTGAAATATAAACCGGAATGACACAAGTGGCAAAGCATGCATCAATAGTTAGTCGAACGTTTCTCCCCAGGAATGATAAGGACTGATAACTGACTGTGTCTGACTCAACAGCTATCTGTCTTGGCTCGCTCTAACAACGCGTTTGTTAACATAAAGCTCTTGCACAACATTAAAGTAATTAGACGATAAGAGTAACCCAAATGCTTCATTGGTCAAGTGAGATTTCATTTATACAACATCCAAACACGTACGCACTCGTACTCGCACGACCACGCACACGTACTCACGCACGCATGCACGCACACACACATTCACAGGAGATGTCAGCTGAAGCGAATTGTTCAGATTGTTTATGTCACGAATGTCAGCATCGGCGTGTCACAGACGCACGCAGACACACACGCACGTTCGTTTGATAGGCCTTGTTACATGTTGATGCGTTTGTTGATTACCTCAAGATAGAAGCAGATGGCGTTTGACTCGTTCACAACAACGTCGTCATCTTTGAATGTCGGCATCTGAAACAAATTTCATGCAAAAGAAAGAAAGAACTAGAAATATCTGACGGAGTGTTGCTGAAATTCATATCAAATGAATACCTAATATGGATTTCTCATGTCTGCATTTACAGGGAGTGATTTGTGCGCTTAGAGTAAAGAACGGCCAAAATATACAGAAAAAATTTACAACGTTACACAGACGAAATTCTATGGCACCACGCCCTTCTCATAATGAAATAAACAAACGCCATATTTCAACGCGCCGTCACACAGCAAATCTGACAAAGGCCTTTATGAGGTACATGGTCCTCAATGTCTCCAGATCAAAACCCTATGACATTAAACCACCTACCTGCCCGCGTGGGTTGAGTTTCAAGACCTCCTCCGACTTGTGCCCCTTGTCGCTGAAGGAAATCATCTTATTCGGGTAGCCCGAGAATCCCTTTTCTTCCAGAACCAACATGGGTTTCCAACAGGGCATGCTCCCAGACCCCCAGTACAAAAACATGTTGGACGCCATATCTGACACGCACAGTCGTTAGTCTCAACAGACTAGTGTGGACCCGATGCACTCCCTAGATATATGCGGTGTCCTCAGTAGGAGTGTCAGGGCAGAGGTCAAGGTCAACAAGCGAGTTCAGAGTTTAAACAAATATGAATGAACGGTGTATTTGCAACGCCTTAGAATGCTGGGCTACCCGTAACTCCTCCAATATCGGTTTTACAGACGACATACTGAATGGGAGGCGGAGTCCCAGTAACTGCATTTTTGCCGACCTTGACATTATGTGGTGGTGGTGGAATTGGGACGCTCTAACCACTACGCCACGCAGGTGGTCTTTGAAATTATGTACCTTTGTGAGCCAAAACGTGTTCGTATGTTTTGATCAGAGGCCATACTCATGAATGTTAGAAAATGCAATGTACTGTCCTGTCGGTTGTCTCCCTTGGTTCTGTATGCTCAGCGACAATTTGAGGCAGGTTTCTTTTGATGACGAAAAATGGAATTGACGGTTTCACCACGTCTCACATCACCACGTCTCGCATCACCACGTCTCACATCACCACGTCTCACATCACCACGTCTCACATCACCACGTCTCACATCACCACGTCTCACACCACCACGTCTCACATCACCACGTCTCACATCACCACGTCTCACATCACCACGTCTCACATCACCACGTCTCACATCACCACGTCTCACATCACCACGTCTCACACCACCACGTCTCACATCACCACGTCTGTCTCAAATCACCACGGCTCACATCACTACGTAGCTCATGACCACATAAAACATCACCACATCTCACGTGACCACGTCTCATATTAAAATGTTTCTCGTCACCACGTCTCACGCCATCACGTAACACATCACCACATCTCACAGCACCGCGTCACCACATACGTCAAAACGTTTTACATTACACGTAACCACGTCTCATATGATCACATCTCACATCACCACGTCTCACATCACAATGTCTCAAATAACCACGTCTCTCATCACCACGTCACCAGGTCTCACATCATCATGTTTCCCGTCACCACGTTCACATCACACATCACCACGTCACCACGTTCACATCACACATCTCCATGTTTCACATCACCACGTCTCAACGTCGCATGTCACCACGTCAAAACGTTTCACATGACACACCACCACGTCTCACATGACTACATCTCACTTCAACACATCTACGCGTCACACATCACCAAATCTCCATGTTTCACATGGCACGCCACAACGTCTCACATGACTTACAGCACCAACGTCTTACACCGGCACGTGGACTAACTGACTGACTGACTGAGTTTGGTTTTACGCCGCTTTTAGAAATATTCCAGCAACATCACGGCGGGGGACACTAGAAATGGGCTTCACACATTGTGCCTATGTGGGGATTCGAACCCGGGTCTTCGGGGTGACGAGCCAACCCTTTAACCATTAGGCTACCCCACCGCCCCCGGCACGTGGATTTAAGTTTGATTAACTTTGGAATGTACTCTCTTGGGCACAGGGTCTAACGTAGACGATAGGCTACACTAAGGCTTGTAAAAATGTTAAGCTGGAGCTCTCATCAATAATAATCGGTGACTGGCGCAAACGTCTAGGTCACGATGTATCCGGCGTCAGGGGTATTCTACGATGTAAGACAAAAACGTATTTTTTATCTTAATATCATTTAAAGTTTTTATTTTACTAACCTTGAGTTATAAAGGATATATTCATTTATTTCATGCAAATATGTCAAGTGTTCCCTACAAAAATAGCGTTGATGACATCGTATCGGCGAAACTGCTGCCTCTCCACATCCGGGTATTTTGTATGGGTTTTCGACGATGATCCATACTTTTCGTTCCGCACTGTGAGGGAATACTGTGATCAAGTGGCTTCCTATTTAAATATTGCCTGTCACTAAGTGGTATTAACGACCTTGGGTAAGTACTATTGACGTTTGCCTGCTTTCCGGATTTACATTGTCAATAAAACTTCTCACGACAGCGACTGGGCACCCGCCCTACCGATGGAACTGCTTGTCCACTCCGATCGCGCACGTACTCCCCCGATATAGCGCGAGCAATGCAGTCGTCGAAATCACCAGAACGTCGAATTCAGCTAGCTTTGGGATACATTTCGAGGCCCTTATATTAAGCACCTTTGTATTCATTAATGCCTTCTGTAAAAAGATAGACATATTTAGAAGTTGGGTAATGATAAAGTAGCAATTGTATTGATTACAACTTCTTTATATATATCTCGACGTTTTGGTATAGATCATTTAAAAACAAACTTGATAACTTTACACGGGACTATACCAAAACGCCGCCATATAGATAATAAAGAAGTTGTAATCTATAACTTCGCGGCTTTGTCCTTCAATATATCTTTCTGCCGCTGAAGGATGTCTTTTTGTCCGGGGTAGCCTGTCGATCCTATTTTTCCATGGCATTGTGTTCAGTTGAGAGGCATGTTTGCAGCTGGCATTATCAGATCAAATGTCAAGGACGAAAAACGATGTGAGACAAGGCCAATGTCACTTAGACTCAAATGTTACTGAGCAGGGAAGTATAATCTACTGGAGATACCAATCACAGAAAACGAGATGGTCATGCAAGTTGCCCAATACCCGTGAAGATTCGGGTTAGAATATTGACCTTCAGTAACCCATGCTTGTCGTAAGAGGCGGCTAACGGGATCGGGTGGTCAGGCTCGCTGACTTGGTTGACACATGTCATCGGTTCCCAATTGCGCAGATCAATGCTCATGTTGTTGATCACTGGATTCTCTGGTCCAGACTCGATTATTTACAGACCGCCGCCATATAGCTGGAATATTGCTGAGTGCGGCGTAAAACTAAACTCACTCACTCCAAGTTGCCCAAACACCCAAACATCATACCATAGTGAGTGAGTGAGTAATGACAATAATTTTCGAGTTACAAAGAGTGAGTGAGTGATTTTTACGCCGCACTTAGCAGTATTCCAGTTATGTGGCGGCGGTCTGTAAATAAACTCGTCTGGACCAGACAATCCAGTGATGAAAAGCATGAGCATATATCTACGTAATTGGGATACGATGGCAAGTGTCAACCAAGTCAGCGAGCCCTACCACCCGATCCCGGATCTTCACGGGTCTCATACCATAGAAAACTATCAGAGATATCAAACGATAGGTTAGGAATGCGTTATTTACAGTATTAGTTAATGTACCGGATTTTCAACATTATGATGGAATCTTTATGGGATTGTGTATTTGTATGTAAATTGTGTGGCCCTTTCTGTTAAAAGTTTGCATATGTATTCCAAAGTTTAGTAATTGGCTGTCTTCGGTAAGGTTGTCACCGTACCGTTAAGTGAGTGAGTGAGTGAGTTTGGTTTTACGCCGCTTTTAGCAATATTCCAGCAATATCACGGCGGGGGACACCAGAAATGGGCTTAACACATTGTACCCACGTGGGGAATCGAACCCGGGTCTTCGGCGTTGCGAGCGAACGCCTTAACCACCAGGCTACCCCACCGCCCCCGTACCGTTAAGCCCCAATGCAGCTCTGGAAGCAGTCTCACTTGAAATATGGAAACGTCCTTGTCATGCATGTTATGATCTATTGACAATTAACTTGTAAATCTTTGAAAGACTTACATACAGACTGACATAAAGAAAGACATATTACCGGTAATCAATACAAGGCCAATGTACATTTATTCAACGGGTTATAGGGCTGAGTGTATTTTCGTGTTTTCAGAACAGTTTAATTACTGGATACAAGATATAATGCAGTGTTACATTGTTGTTCTTCAGGGGTGGTGGGGTAGCCTAGTGGTTTAAGGGTTCGCTCGTCACGCCGAAGACCCGGGTTCGATTTCTGTATTCGGATTGTGACAAGTGTCCGTAGCTCTTTTCACAGTGCGGCTATGTTTTAAGTGGGCGGTGGGGTAGTCTAGCGGTTAAACCGTCCACTCGTCACGCCGAAGACCCGGGTTCGATTCTCCACATGGGTACAATGTGTTAAGCCCATTTCTGGTGTCCGCCGTGATACTGCCGAAATATTGCTAAAAGCGGCGTAAAACTTAACTCACTCACTGATGTTCTGCAAGATATGTTTATGGATATGAGACGTACCTTGACCATCGCAACACAACGCCGCTTTAAACAGTTCTCAAGGTATATTGCGGCGTGTGGACTTCTTGAGGGTGGAACGCCTTAAGCCTTTACTTGTCTCAGACCACTTTGGCGAAACCCACAGGTGCTGATAAACATTGAAACATAATCGGACCAAACCGAGATTCGAACCCACGTTTCTTGCCAACCCAAGTGACGCAACTTTGAACAGAGAATGGCGGCGCCATCTTAGCCCAGAGAACGAACTCGAGACAGTAGTACCCGAAACCATACCGTACATATACCCTGTGAGTTGCTGAAACTGGTCTCAGTATAGCCTTGATACATTGCTTAAGAAGTTAATTACATGATTAGGAAGCATGAATAAAATCTTTTTCAAATTGTAATAAAGAAATTATTAGGCTCGCACGTGTTATTCTGCATATTATTACCCATACGGAAATGGCTATGCCGCTAGGCTAGTATAGTTCATGTAACCTCAGCTTTTGCTTACAGCTGATTGGTTGTTTCAGAAATGATGTCATTTGATTGGCTGTTTGAACTACTTTATCCATTCATTCATTCATTCTTTTTCCACAAAAAATCCTCATGCACGAGTCTTGACATGTACATCAAACCTTTTAATGAATGCATTTCTTTTCAAATTAAAATATACATTTGCACTTTTTATCAACCCTTTTGATACACACAAAACGTAAAATTCATAAGATTCAATAAAAATTAAATTTGTTCCAATAAACGTCCACTTCGTAGTACAAGAAATGTATACAAACATTTCTACATTAGTATCTCCGATAAAACTGAATGAGTAAGGGTACCCCTGCAAATCAAATACTTGCAATGCAAGTTACTGGCCAACAAAAGCATGTATTCAGTTAACGCATACTCGCCAATCACCGGAAGTCAACACCGGGGCATATCCAACATTCTGTCAAGTTCCAGCGTACCGGTTGACCCTGTTCAGTCAACTGCTGG